AAAATTGCGTACCTGAGTAGGTGTCTTGTAGGGCACATCCACACGATGGCGGAACGTTTCGGGAACAACTCGTCGTCGTGATCAGCTAGGCAAAAGACTAGTGTTTGACAACAACGGGTGCTGATTTTGTATTCATAAATCTCACAAAGGCTGTTGACAATTGTAACTCACTCAAGCATTCCATGGGCTATCCAGGTATATGTTTATTCTGGTGGGTTTCAACCAACACCTCAGTATATGACTAAAGGTCTCAATTTCCAGTTTGCCGTGGCGTCGTGGCTTACTCCAACCCTCTTGGACATCATCGTTTGGGCCCTTGCTCAGTTGTTCTTTCCATGATTCGCGCGTCACACTCTTAGCTCTGCCGAACTCTTCAATCTGTCCCACCTCTAAACTAGAACGGAGGTCAGACAAGTCCCCAAGTCGGCTGATAATTCTGCCAATGTCGCTCACTGGATCTGAATCCAGCTTCAATATCTTTGCAAATCGTTAATTGACACCTGTTGCTCGGAGTTTGGTACGAAGATCAGCCCCAGCAAGATAATACCGGTAGTGCATAACATAAACTATTTTGTCAGAAAAAACTGTAACATTTCGAGAGTTTTTAAACTAGAGTAAATTAATTCATGAAAGTTGAAACAAGGAAGCAAAACTGAGAAACTAGAAGAGCCCGATCTGACAGCACGTATATCCAACTGGCAGAGTGCACCTCTCTCAAACAGGGCAGTAATGAAGTTTGAACTCAGAGGGTTTGCTTTAGCATTGCAGACTGGACAACCGGAAAAAATAACCATGTAGGGTGTCCTCAAAGTCCTGTTTCTACACACGAGTACTTTTGCCCGAATCTGTAGCCTAAAACGCCATGAGTTTTACGTAACATTTCGAATCTGTGTTTGTCCCTTCATAAGAAACGCAACTGACCTTTGCAATGAATCTACTCTATTGTGGCGCCGGCGGGTCCGGCCGGTGGGGGCGCCGCACGGAGTTGGCTGGCTGCCCGCGCTGGTGTGCGAACGGCCCGCGGTTTTCCCGCCTCGCGCCTGCGCAGTCCCTGCTGACGGGCGCCATGTTTAGAGCTGAGCTGGAAACGCATTGTTGTGGACGACAGCATTAAAACAGATTTCGTGACCAAAACAGCGAGTTGCGTCTGTGTGTGATTCTATATTAGGGTCGAACCCTGATCAGTAGGACACGCTACAACTGGTGGCAGCGGCGAGACGCTGGATATCTGTAAAAAACAGGTAAACTCTTTGCCTTTCCTGGGTCATTGAATTGGTGGATGATTTGGGTCGGGTGCCGGACTTGCTAGACAGCGGCAGCACAGGCCAGCGCGGGGCCCTGTGGTCGGGGGCCCAGACTGCAAAGGCGACGTGGAACTCACCTGCGTTGGCGGGCGAGCTGGATTCGTTCTTTGCGGGGAATCTTGAACTGTTATCCAGGAGCGGGAGGTGGAAATTCGAGGGTGTCGAGTGTGTCGAGTGCGCAGCGTGGGAGGGGGGTCTTTGGCTAGGTCCCCTGGAGAATGCATCCAAGTCTGCCCAGTCCCCGGGCGACTTCCCCCGTCTAAAGTTGATGGGGCGAAAGGGGTGCAGTTCCGTTTGTAGCACGAACATTTCGCCCCGGTCGCTAGGGAGGGGGCGGGGCATCGCCAGGAGACATCCTCCCAACCCCTCACTAGTACACCCATCGCCGGCGTACGTGGGATGCCCTCTGGCGGCGGGGACGCACTGGGAGAGGCGTTCCCGTCGGGGCGCCCTCAGGGTGGGTCCGCAGCTGGGGGGTCCTGGCGGGGGCCGGGTGGAAGTTCATTCATGTCTTGTGGTCGAGAGAAGGCTCCTCTCGGAGCACAGTCGGGGTTGGAGCCTCGGTGCGAGGTAGATGAAGCTTGTAATACTAGCCATAGTATAGGGGCGCCCTCTTGCAGCGCCGCGGTGGCCCAGTAAGCGTCCCTCTCGGAGTGCAGCCGGGCCGTGGCGGCTGCCGCGGCGGCAGGGCCCCGATGCGAATTGAGGGGAGCTAGCAGACCCATGACAGGTTTTGGGGCGCCCTCCCGCGCCAGGGACATGGCCGGTGTGGCGTACCGCTTGGAGCGCTGTGAGGCAGCGGCCACGGTCGTCGGGAGGGAGGGTCGAGACGGGCTAACTGGAGTTTGTGAGATAAATAGTGAGATGCAGACGCCCCCGCGCGGCGAAACTGCAACTGGTGGCGCAATTAGGGCGGATCCCCGCGCGGGGAGAGCCCCTAGAGGAACTGGGGAGGTCCATCCGAAGGTTAGTGCTCCGGAGTTACCCCACCTTGCCCACACAGGCGCGTGAAGATATGGCGGTGGAGGCCTTCTGGAACGCCCTGGGGGACGAACAATTGCAGCGCCATGTCTTCGCCAGGAAGGCCACGACCCTGGCCGAGGCGATTACCCTGGCCACTGAGATGGAGGCCTTTTTGGAGTCCCAGGCACATCAGCAGAAGGGTAGGATCGGGGCCAAGGAGGTTTGGGTGGTTGAGGAACCCCCCTCAGGTACGCCGGTTAAGACGGGCGCCCCCTCTCGGGTCCAGTGCTACGGGTGCCGCAAGTATGGACATTTCCGCCGGGATTGCCCGCGCGGAAAGGGGAAGGGCGGCGCCGTCCGGGGCCAGCTGCTGGCAGAGCCAGTCTTGACGGCACCGCTGGAGCCGGCCCCTGCGCCTCCGTTGGCGGCAGAAACAGGGCCAGTGGCCCGACATAGGCAGACGCCGGTGGCTCCGGTGAACCGGGCTAACTACGCCATCTGCAAGCTGGCCGGCAAGGCAGTGCGATTGCTACTCGACACGGGGGCGGCCGTAAGTGTCGTGTCGGCCAGGGTCTAATACGCACTTACAGGCGCCAACAAACCCAGAACGCAGCCAGCTGGACCGACTCTGTGGATGGCTGATGGTAGCCCGATGCGAGTGCACAGAGTCGCCGACTTCAAACTCCAGCTGGGGGACCCGTGCACCCTCCTACACACCTACACGGTGGCGGACATCGAACCCGACGTCATTGTGGGGATAGACTTCCTGGTTAAACACCGCTGCGAGTGGAGGTGGAGCAACAACTCACTTGTGGTTGACGGCAAGCTGGTTCCCCTGGAGGGGCCGAGCTGCAAGCCGGTGGTGGCACGTGTCCAAGTGGCCGAGAGCCTGGTAATCCCCGCCGGGCACGAGGCGATCGTGACTGGGAAAGTCTGTGGAGATCGTGCCCGCTGAGTGGGGATAGGCAGATAGCGTCGCGACGGGCCTCGTGGATACCAGTCAGGGGGCCGTGCCAGTGCGAGTATTCAACCCGACGGGAGACCCGGTTACAGTCTATAATGGGAGTCGTCTGGCCATGTTTGCCCCAGTGGAACAAGGCGACCCCGAGGAGAGTTCTCACCAGGTGGTTTCCGAGCCCTGCCCTACGGAAGGTTCCGTGCGGAGCCCCGAGGGCGGTCCAGCGGGTTACGGTTGCCAGGGAGGCTCTTCTCGCAGCTCAGGCGATAGTATGCCCGCCCACCTGCAGGACCTCCTGGACCGGGGAGCGGCCCATCTGGACGGCAAGGAACGTGAACGGCTGGCAAGCCTGCTGGTAGAGTTCCAGGGTGCCTTCACCGGGCTGGACGGCAGGCTCGGCCAAACCGACTGGGTCCACCACCCAATCAACACAGGGACGATGCCACCCATCCGGCAACCTCCCTAGCGGCTTCTAATCCACAAGCGGTTGGAGGCCCAGAGTCAGGTGGACCAGATGCTGGCGGATGGGGTAATCGAACCGTCGCACAGCCCGTGGTCGTCGCCGGTGGTCCTGGTGTGGAAGAAGGACGGGTCTGTCTGCTTCTGCATGGACTACTGGTGGGTCAATGCAGCCACAATGAAGGATGCCTACCCCATCCCTCGGATAGAGGATAACTTAGACGCACTCGAGGGAGCCAGGTGGTTCAGCACCCTGGACTTGGCCAGCAGGTACTGGCAGGTTCGCATGGCGGAGGATGACAAGGAGAAGACGGCTTTCGGGACACAGAGCGGCCTCTACCAGTTTACCGTGATGCCCTTCGGCCTCCGTAACGCACTACTTGGGAAGCGCTTCTTGTTGAGGACAGACCACGGCTCGCTGCGCTGGCTCTTTAATTTCAAAGAGCCAGAGGGGCAGACAGCCAGATGGCTGCAGAGGCTGGGGTGCTACGTGTTTGACATAGAATACCGACCGGGGCGGAAACACACCAACGCCGACGCTGTCTCTCGGATACCCTGCGGCCAGTGCGGGCGTTCCCTAGAGGTTGACCAAGAATGTTACACGGGGCTGGCCCCTCCCGCGGATTTGGCCCCCTCGGAGCCAGCCGCCGGAGGCGAAGGACGAGTCCCTGGTTGCGACAGCCGACATGGACGGAGAGGCGGATGACTCGATTTCGGACGGGTTTCCCTAGGTCTGCGACATGAGCAAGCTAGCTCAGGAGCAGCAGGACGACCTGGAGCTGGGACCGGTCCGCCAGTGGCTGGTGGCGGGGAGCGACCAGCCTGAATGGGAGGACATCTCCGACCACGGCACCGGGGTCAAAATCTGGTGGTCCAGATGGGACACACTGCGCCTATTCCGAGGGTCTTACAGGTCAAGGGCCGACAGGGGGCCCCCACCAGGAAGATCGCCGTCCTGCAGGCCAGGGTGCCAGAGGTTCTACTTCTTGCCCACAACCACCGAACTGCTGGACACCTCGGGGTCCCTCAGACCGTGGCCCGACTCAGGCAGGCTCCTGTGAATTGGAGGGAGATGAGACGGCAGGCTGAAGGGTGGTGCCAGAAGTGTCATCTCTGCGGTTATAAGAAGTCCCCGCCGCGTCCCGGGAGAGCTCCGCTTCGACAATACCTGGTTGGGGCCCCCATGGAGCGGATCGCCATTGACCTTACCGGACGCCTGCCCCGAAACCAAGGCTGGAAACTTCAGCATAATGGTAGTGGCGGACTATTTCACGAAGTGGGTGGAAGCGTTTTCCCCTCCCGGATCAGACGGCCGAGACTGTGGCCAAGACCCTCGTGGAGCAGGTGATCACGCGCTTTGAGACACCCCTCGAGATCCACATGGATCAAGGGCGGGAGTTCGAGGCGGGCCTGTTCCGTGGGGTCTGCCAGCTGTTTGGCATCCACAAGACCAGGACAACTCCGTTCCACCCCCAGTCCGACACCATGGTCGAACGGTTCAACCATACCGTGAAGACCATGCTGAGCATGTTTGTGGATGAGAATCAGGACGACTGGGACGAGCATCTTCCCTACGTCCTGTTGGCCT